TCAAGGACTTCCATTGCAATCTGATCTCTTTTCCTCATAATTCTGTCACTCTTCCTCCTTATCATATTGGCAATTTTATTTCATTTAACCACTTATCCAACCCTTTTAGACACTTTGTGATGAACATCTCTTCTCATTATAAGCCTCTCTTTTTTCGTCAAGCTATCAAAATTCCCTAATGGCGTGAGGCAATGCAACTTGAACTTGATGCTATGGAAGCCAATCACACCTGGTCCAGTGTTCTTTTACCTACTGGGAAGCATTCAGTGGGTTGTAAATGGGTATACAAAAACAAGTATAAGTCAGATGGTTCCCTGAAAAGGCACAAAACACGCCTTGTGGCTAAAGGCCATACACAACGAGGGGTTGGACTACTTTGACACCTTCTCCCCAGTAGCGAAAACTGTAACTGTGAAGTTAATGCTTGCCCTTATGGCTTTTCAAAATTGGCATTTATTCCAATTAGACATGAACAATGCCTTCTTAAATGGTGACTTGTTTGAAGAAGTCTATATGGATATCCCACTTGGCTATGAGCTCCATAAGTCCATTAAGCAGGGGGAAAAGCTAGTGTGTAAGTTACACAAATCCATTTACGGTCTAAAGCAGGCTTCAAGGCAATGGAATTCCAAGTTCTCCCATACTCTTATTCATCATGGCTTCACTCAATCAAAGGCAGATTATTCCTTATTCACAAAAGGATCCGGTAATACTTTTGTTGCATTATTGGTTTATGTGGATGACATTGTCATCACAGGTCCCAACATCTAGTTCATTAATTCCTTAAAGGCTTTCTTACATTCTCAGTTTAAACTAAAGGATCTTGGATGTTTGAAGTATTTTTTAGGGATTGAGATTGCTTGTTCCTCATCTGGTATTGTCATTTCACAGCGACAATATGCCTTGCAATTACTCGAAGATACTGGCTATCTGGACTACAAACCAATGAATACTCCTATGGATCCTAAGATAAACCTCAACTTGCATACTAGAGATTTGCTCCTTGATGCTTCTCATTACAGGCGCTTGATTGGTAGGCTCATTTACTTAACTCTCTCACAACCAGATATCACTTTCCAGTGCACAAGTTAAGTCAATACATGTCTCAATTAGGATTACCACATCTTAAGGCAATTCATCACCTTCTTTGATACCTAAAAGGAAGCTCAGGTCAAGGCATCCTATTTTCTTCACACATCACTGATGTTTCTTCAGACAAACCTCTTCAAATTCGAGCTTTTTCTGATTCGGATTGGGGATCTTGTCTTGACACTAGAAAATCTGCCACTGGTTTTTGTATCTTCGTTGGTAATTCAATGATTTCTTGGAAATGAAACGGCAACCTACCATATCTCGTTCTTCAGCTGAAGCCGAATACAGGGTTGTTGCTGCCACAATTAGTAAGATCATCTGGATTAAACAATTGTTAGCAGATTTCAAGATCATCATTTCCCCTTTTGCTGTTCTTTATTGTGATAACCAGGCTGCACTCCAAATTGCCACAAATCCCATTTTCCATGAACGAACAAAGCACATCGAGATCGACTGTCATTTCATTTGCGAAAAGATAAATGTTGGTTTGATCAAACTACTCCCAATTCGTTCTCAGCATCAACTAGCAGATGTCTTTACTAAACCATTACTTGCATCGATTCTTAACCCTTTGTTAGCCAAGATGTGCGTCAAAAACATATACGACACATCTTGAGGGGGAGTATTAAGACTTATTTATTTGTAATTCATTTTAATTCAAGCTTTAATTCGTTTTTATGATTGCTCAAGTTATACTGGCTTGTCAACCACATGTGCAAGTAGTTAGAAAGTTAGTTAGATCAGCTGGCATTCCTCTTT